GGGAGTTCCGAACTCCCCATTGCCCTACAAACCCCCCCCCCACCCCGAACGCTCTTTGTTGATTCTCACAATTTTCACCGCCTGTTTTCAAATATTTGCACCGATTCGGTCTGCCCAGCCCTTACACACACACACACGCGCGCCCTCCACTGCTACCGATAGAACACACACACACACACTCTCGCAAGTGTGCGTGTGTGTTTTACATCATACACACACACGCCCTCTACTGCTACCGATAGAACACACACACACACGCAAGTGTGTGTGTGTGTTTTACATCATACACACACACACACTCTCGCAAGTGTGTGTGTGTGTGTTATACAAGAAATCAGGGTGTGCGTGTGTGACGGGTGCTGCTGGCAACCCCCTCCCCCCACCCAATTCGTGTGTTCCGTGTTGGTCTTCATCGGTGCCACTCGCTAACAGCCGCTTGGCCACAAACGTCTCCGCATACTGCACGAGGGATCTTTGTCTTTTGGGTGGATTCGTGGTCACGCTGTCACCCTGCCTCCCTGTGGTGGTGGTCCACAACATCTGCACGTCACCTGAAGCTGTCATCCGGCACGCCAAGTTGCTTGAATATCGAGAGAGATAATTATCAATTAGATTTTTAAAATATATATATAGAGTATCTTGGTGAAAAGCGCAGCATCTCCACAGTGGTGGTAACAGGTAAACGCGAATGTGATTCTTATTTTATATATATTTTTTATATCCAACTGCTGTCTCTGTCTGGGTGTCATCAAATGTGTTCGGTTACGGTGCACAAAGCGTTCTCCGTGTCCTCTGTATGTGCGTTATGGGCCACCGTGGTGTGCTGGAGACCAAAGAAAAAAGCATGGAATAGACAAGGAGAGACTGTTTACAAACAATCTATACGACGACAAGCATATTCTTGGTTCTTTCGGTAAAGTCACGTTGAAGGGAAACAATAAAATAATGAAAAAATATATAAAACAACAAAATTCTCACGACGTTTCGACTGCAACACAAGCAGTCGTCATCAGGTGTGGCTTGTGTTGCAGTCGAAACGTCGTGAGAATTTTATTGTTTTATATATTTTTTTTAATTATTTTATTGTTTCCTTTCAACGTGACTTTACCGAAAGGACCAAGAATATGAATCATTGCAGTCACGAAAGCTTTAAATCAAAAGATGGCAAGCATGTTTAGTCAGTCAGCTGCTGCTTTAATTGACCGACGCGTGCGTATTTGTAAATTGGCGCAATTTACAGCAATGTCAAAAAAGAAAACATTTCGTCAAATCACTCGCGACGACAACACGCATTGTGACACGCGTGTGTAGTGGAACTGTGTCTATATCATTCGCCACATTTGCTGAGCACAGGCCCAAAGAACTCAAAAACGTATATCTTCCAACGTTGGAAGAGTGAACGAGTTTCTTGAATTAACCAAAGGTTGTTATTGTAAGAGCTTGGGGGAAGGAACGACGGCACGGCGGTACAGAGTAGCGCAGTGCGAGGGAAGCAGAAATAGCGTCGTGACCTGCAGTGCGGTGGTTGAGTGAGTGGCTGTGTGAGTGAGTGGGTGGTTGGGTGAGTGCGTGAGGGTGTGAGTGAGTGGGTGGTTAGGGGAGTGGGTGAGGGTGTGAGTGGGTGGGTGGTTGAGTGAGTGGCTGTGTGAGTGAGTGGGTGGTTCGGTGAGTGAGTGAGAGTGTGAGTTAGTGGGTGGTTGGGTGAATGGGTTAGTGGTTGCGTGAGTGGGTGGGTGGTTGAGTGAGTTGGTGGTTGAATGAGTGGGTGGTTGGGTGAGTGATTGGGTTGGTGGTTAAGTGAGTGGGTGGGTGGTTGAATGAATGGATGATTGAGTGAGTGGGTTGGTGGTTGAATGAGTGGGTGATTGAGTGAGTGGGTTGGTCGTTGAGTGAATGGGTGGTTGAGTGAGTGGGTTGGTGGTTGAGTGAGTGGGTGGGTGGTTGACTGAGTGGGTTGTTGAGTGAGTGGGTTGGTGGTTGAGTGAGTGGGTGGATGGTTGAGTGAGTGGGTGGTTGGGTGAGTGGGTTGTTGAGTGAGTGGGTTGGTGGTTGAGTGAGTGGATTGATGGTTGAGTGAGTGGGTGGTTGAGTGAGTGGGTTGTGGGTTGTTGGTTGGGTAAGTGGGTGGCTGGCTGTGTGAGTGGGCGATTGAGTGACTGGGTGGTTGAGTGAGTGGGTAGTTGAGTGAGTGGGTTGGTGGTTGAGTGTTTGGGTGGCTGGCTGTGTGAGTGGGTGGTTGAGTGAGTGGGTGGGTGGTTGAAAGGGGAGACGAGTGTACCTAATAGCAGATGGTGGGATGCTCTTGGGCATATCTATAGGCTATCTGATAGTCTCTAGTTCTCTCTGTTAGACTATAGGTCTATGTGCGAGTATGTGAGTCTCTGAGTGATTCTATGGAACTCACTGTGTCAGTCTATGGGTATCTGAGTGAGTCTATGGATCTCTGAGTGAGTCTATAGGTCTCCATACGTCTTAGAGCAGATGGTGGGATGAGACTGTCAGTGCAGATATTGGAGGTGGTCCCTGCGGCGTATCTTCTGTGCAGCAGCTGCGGGATCTGTCGGATGGGTAGGGGACGTTGGTGAGGTTGTTGGTAGTGGGGAGCGGTGGCACAGTGGTTAGCACGTTGCGTTATAAACCCGGTGATCTAAGTTCGATTCCCGCTTATGGCCAACACCAGTGACAATTATCTGAACCAGTCCTGGGCCTTCCCTGGTTCGACTCAGCGTCAAATTAGTACCTGGTGTGATGTGTAAACATCGCCACTGGGGAGACAAAGGCGGTCAGGCGTGGTGCTGGCCACCCACCCCCTCGTGTGCCGTGCCGGCCTTTGTAGGTGCTCGCTAACAGCACTTTCCCCAACAGTCTGTTAAGGCTACACGGGGTATCTTTGTCTTTGGTGGCATAATCAACTTTGGCCACGATGATGTCTTGACCTTTTTTTTGTAACCTTAATGAATAAGTCGTGTTCGCATTATTTCTCCCCACATGCATGTCGCCACAAGTCAGCGCACACCATTACGAGGGCCGGGTTCACTCATTCAGACACACAGACCTCAGGCCGTGGAATATAATAATAAAGAATTATAACTTAATACGTGGCAAGTTTATTTATAGCTAATATTATGATTCGTGAAATTGATGTTTTGGGTGAGACCACATTTGTGTCGTGAAGCCCTCCACAAACCCAACACGGCCAAACATTCAGTTGTCACGTGTACAAGCGTGTTAATAATAACAAGATTAGTAATGTTCAGATTAAGGTGTTTTTTAGGTTATAATTGCACAAGTAGAAATGCGTCGTGAACCCGCCACCACCCGACACAGCCAACTGGTAAGGTTTGTCACGTAAAATTGCCACGTTTTGTTTAGGTGACAATTAAAGTTACTGTGAATAATATTGGTCGCGAAAGCCTACGTGGGAAAACCAATAGTCATGCTCTCTGTCGAAACGCGCTATGGAAGGTCGTGACCACGTGACCTCGTTCACGAGGGCAGAGCAGCATGCCTGCACGTGAGCTATCAATTGTTCACCCTCACCAATTGCCTGCCACGTGTTCAGTGAAAGGTAAAATGCGCAGCCATGCAACTGTTCTTTTCACATCACTGCTGGTGGTGAAAGGGGGCCTCCACAGGGGGTTGTGGGTGTGATCCCAACCCTGACGCCTGCTGTGTATTTGGAGTTTGCGTGTCTCTCTCTCTCTCTCTCCCCGTGGTCGCGTATATTTTTCTCCGGGTCCTCCGGTTTTCCCCTCCACACTTAGTATCAACAACACACGTTTGGAGTATTTGGCTGCTATAGATTTCCACGATAAGCCACTTTCGTTGAGCTATCATTTGTGATAGCCAGGTCGAGTCTGAAAAATAGCTACATAGTTCAGTGGGCCTTACCTGGTAAAATAAAAAAATATATAGTTTAGTAGTTTTGTTGCCAGAAAAAAGGGGAAAAACCCTATTATTACATTTTCTCACTGGCAAAGGAGGTCTAATGATGTAGATGCTCACCCCGAGCCCTCATTACTTTGATAATGCATTGTCTTTGAGCTGTGTGACGCCTTTTGGTGTCATCTGGTTGAGCACCAATTGGGTCGAGGCTGAAAAGAAAGCCTTCCCTTGGTGTGGACCAATCAGTTTCAAGGACAATGCATCATATATTATCATAGTATGTTTTTTGTTTGGATTTTGACTGCAGGTATTGTGGTTAATGCAGACATGAATCCTCGTAAAAAGAATTCAGTTTTGTTGCCAGAAAAAAGGGGAAAACCCCCTATTATTATAGTTTAGTAGTAGTTTAATAGTTTTAGTCAAATGGGCATCGGTCGTCAATATGGGGCGCCGTTGCTCGCGGAGTGTTTCCCAATCACGCACAATAATTTGGGAATGCTTTACGATCTTGGCCACAATTAACCCCGAATATGACATTGTGATGACAACGTGACGCGGTTTTGTTCCGAATGAGCCTCGCTTAACACGGAGTGTGCGCATGCGCGTGTGTTGCGCTGGCCGCGAAGGTGCTGAGCGAATCACAGCGGCGTACGACCGGGGCAGCAACATGGCTGCCAGCGTGATCCACCAATCAGGGAGCGGGGAGGCGAATCTCTTCTTTCAGTCACTCGACGACCACGAGATGGAGACCGCTCGAGAGAGCGACGACTTCGAAGAGGACGACCCGTTCGATGATGAGATGCTGCTTGACGACAATTCCGACTATGGTAACGACTATGGTAACGATGGTAACGACTATGGTAACGATGGTAACGAGGGCAATGGGGGACGGCGGGGAGGACGAACATCTCCCGGTGGCTCCAGGAGATGCGAGTCAGCCGGACGGTGATTGACCGATTGCCGAGTAGATTTGACACAGCCGACGACATCAACAACAAACCTGAACGCGTTCGTCAATAACACCGTGGCCTTAAATGGAAAAGCATATGTTTATATATTTAACATGCGACGTTTCGGGCAATGGTTCCTACTTTATAGCCTATGAAAGGATCTTCATGACAACCCAAAGTGCAGCTGTGGCATGATATAAACAATGTCGCATATCAATGTTTTATTTAAAGATTTCGTGACTGCAGGAATTCATATTATTGGTTATTTCGGTAAAGTTACGTAGAAGGGAAACAATGAAATAATAAACAATATAAAACAATAAAATTCTCACGACGTTTCGACTGCAACACAAGCAATCATCATCAGGTGTGAAAACCACAGCAAGACATTGTATTCTTGCTGTGGTTTTATATTTTTATTATTTTATTGTTTCCCTTCTACGTGACTTTACCGAAAGAACCAAGAATATGAATGTCGCGTATCGTAAAAAAAAATGTATACTATGTACAGCGCTCTGTGATCCGTGGATAAAAACTTGCTATATAAGTCCAATGGTGGTGAGATGTTAACTACATCGCCTGGTATACAGGAGGTCGTGGGTTCGATCCCAACCCTGACGCCTGCATATTTGGAGTTTGCGCGTCTCTCTCCCCGTGGTCACGTGGATTTTTCTCCGGGTCCTCCGGGTTTTCCTCTCCACATTTAGAATCAACACCACGCGTTTAGAGTATTTGGCTGCTATGCATTGCCACGTGATCAGCCACTTCGTTGAGCTATCATTTGCGATTGCCCAGGTCACTTCTAAAAAAGAGCTGTATAGCTCAGTGGGCCGTCCTTACCGAGTAAAATAAAAAATTATATTTAAAAAAATGATTTGATTACTTGTCCACTAAGTTATCTACAATAACTGCACGTGGCCACAGAGGAACGCTATCGCATGGCTCGACGATTACGCACTCGATGAATGAATGAATAGCACGTAAGTAAAAAAGGGTCATTGCCCGAAACGTCACCTATTTTATATATTTCAGGCAGTGTCACTGACGAATGCAGTGAGTCTGTATTGTTGGTTGTGCCTGTGCACCCAACAAATAATTTCGTTTTATTTGTCAATATTTTTTCATGCGGTTTGTTTACCTTTCCTATACTTTGCACTCCTATCGTATTTTGTTGTATTGTCCCTTGTTGTGACGTGCTAACCCCGTGCCCCGACTGGACATGTGCGCAAAAAGAGCTTCACAGCTCTTCGGATTTCTCCGGTATTAAATAATTTATTCCGATTCCGATAAACTCATCCAGTCTAAAAAAAAAAAAAACTTGACCGCTCTTCTCGCAGTCCATCCGGTGGTGGGGGGCAAGGAGGAGGAGCAGGGGGATGACGAGGAGGATGAGGATGAGGAGGAGGGGACCCAACCGCGCCAGCTGCTGCGCTTTGCCGAGACCGTGAGCTCCGACATCCAGCGTTTGTTCGGCCGCCGGGGAGCCGAGGGGGAGGGCCACGCGGCCGGCTGGAGCGGCTCGCCCGGGACTTACCGCGACCGATTCGCGAGCGGCAAGTCCGGCCGGGAGCTGTACTACGCCGACCTCCTGCGGCTGGCAGAGGGAGGAGACTCGTGGTGGCGGTGCTCCTCAGCCTCCGCCTCCTCTCCCTCGCCGGGAGCGGTGGGCAACGCGAACCGCCGCATCTCGTCGAGTAAGGAGAAGGGATGGTGGTGTTTACCGTCATCCAAGGCCGTAATTATAATTTATATGGGGGGGGGGGGGCACACATTCCCACATTCCCCCACCCCAGTATTCAGATATGCTCAAAATGTCCCCCCCCCCCAATACATTGCTATAAAAAAATAATTGCTATGCTATGTAAATAAAAACAACAATTTGCTGAACCTTGGCCACAATATCTGCAATTGTCTTCATATAAATCAATGCGTAGATTTCTGTTTATATGATTGTGGTTATTGTTGTACTTTATTAATCGCTAATCTCTGCCATTACATACAATGAAACAAGAAACGGTAAAAAAAGTAAAAACAGTGCAATGTAATACAATACACTATTAGACATTATTGTAAAGAATAAATAAAAAGTCCATCCCATGTGTTAGTGAATTTTTTAATATTTTAGGCAGAAAATTCGTTTTCAAATGTAGATATTTTTTCTGGGTTGGGACCCCCAGACACCCTGGAAGATTTGGTCCCCCCCCTGAATGTTGACTCCATGACTACGGCATTGCCGTCATCGCCCAGGCGGTTGTCGCCTCGGATTTGTCCTCTCTGTGGGAGGTTTTTTGTGTGTCGCTGTTGACGGCCGTCCTGGGTGGCAAGCGGGAAGGATGAGGGGGGTCCGTGCTGATCTCAGTGTCCACGTGGTTGATGAGGCCGTTTCGTTGAGCTATAATTTTGTGGCCAGGTCGCGTCTGAAAAAGAAGCTGATAGCTCAGTGGGCTTTACCTGGTCAGACAGATATATACACAATTTTTTTGTTTAGTTTCTATTCGTTTATTTTGTTAAGGAATTTCTTTGTTTACCATTCCAATACTTTGCACTCCTATTGTGTTTTGGAATTGTTTGTTATTGTAACGTTCTTACCCGCCCCCACTGGACGTCTGTGAAAAAGAGTTTTATAGTCAATCGCAATGACGATTGCTTGTGTTGCGATCGAAACGTCGTTATTTTTTCTACCTACGTGACTTTACCGAAAGAACCAAAGAGTATGGATTCCTGCAGTCACGAAATCTTCAAATAAGCTTTATAGCTCTCTTTCACAGACGTCCAGTTATAAAAAAAACCATGAGATTTGGTCAGCATGGGTAGCAGAAACTGCCTTTCGCAACTAACTGGCGGCGAGAACACCACGGCACTTGTGCCAGGCTAGGTGCATTTTTATGCCACGTGAAGTGTCGAAGGCTAACTGGCAGGAGGTCACGGGACAGACCCAGGTGCCATGGGTTGACTGACTGAGATGACGGGCAGATGCACCACCTGGCAACAAAGACAAAGATCCCCCGTATAGGGTTAACAGACTGTTGAGGCAAGTGCTGTTAGCGAGCACCTATGAACAAGAGGGGGTGGGGTGGTGAGCACCGCGCCCAGGTGCTCATTTGAGGCTGAGTCGACCTAGAGGAGGCCCATGACTGTTCAGATAATCGTCACTGGTGTTGGACGTGAGCGGGAATCGAACTCTGCTGACCGGGTTCGTAGCGCAGCGCGCAACCGATGCACTACCATTCCCTACCTGGCAGCACGCACGCACACACACTGACTGCTCTCTATCAAAGACCAAGACAATGTTTATTTCTACATATTCATAGTCACGCTCTCTCTCTGTCGAGGGTGAATGTTCGGGGAGCCAATCACAGTGGATCTTTGCACGGCTGCCCAGTGGCAGGCATAGTCTGCTTCAGTGCCGGATTAAGTTAGTGCATATGTTATAAAGGGGCTCTAAATTAATTAAAAAATAAATAACACGTACAACATTTAAACACGTAAATTTTATAAAGGGGCCCTAAATTAATAAAAAACTACGTACAAAATTTAAACACGTAAATTGTTTACTCGCATAGTAAAGTAATTGTATTTTTTCATTTGCTATACAGCGAGATAATGCAACATATCGCGAACCTTAAACACCCAGTCGTTCATAAAAGTTGAAGGCGGTAGAGTACAATCGTGATAGATCAAGTGCAGAATCACTGAACCGGAATTGATAGCTTGAAAGCGTTTAGCGCGGGGCCCTTGAAAGTGCGGGGCCCGTAGCATTATGTAGCAGCTACTACACGTGTGTAGTAGCTACATCTGTAGTAGCTACTTTCGCTACGAGGATAATCCGGCACTGGTCTGCTTGCATCCACAGTTCACAGCCAGGCAGCTTGGTGGCCAGAAGTGACCAACGACACGCTCATGTGCCTCCCAGATCCAGCAACATGTAATTTGATTTCATTATCCCGATTGAGCCATGAGCGCCATGTCATCATACTAACAACGACACTCAAAGTGCCGTCCAATCAGACTGCAGGAAACATACCGCGTCATAATCACAGCCTGCTCCACGGCGATTTGACGAGCGGTCACGCTTCTTCAGTGCCACGATTATGCGATTTTGGGTGGAGGCGACATTTTTGCGTTTTTTTTGTCGCTGTTGATGTTGCTGCTCCCCACGCTCTGAACGGGTGCCCCCCCCCCCACCTCGGCCCCCCCCCCTGGGTCCCCACTCGGTCCCCCCCTCGGTTCCCTCCTCCTCCCCCTCGGTCCCCCCTTCGGTTCCTCCTCGGGCCCCCCCTCCTTCCCCCCCTCACCCCCCCCCTCCTTCCCCCCCTCGCCCCTCCCTCGGTCCCCACTCGCCCCCCCCCTCCCACCTCACCCCCCCTCTCCATCCCCTCCTCGATCTTCCCCCTCGGTCCCCACCTCGCCCTCCGCCCCCCCTCGGTCTCGGCATGCAGCCACAGCCGGAGCGGCGCGCGGCCGCGACGAGGAGCGGCCCCTGGGCCCTCTGAGCGAGCTCTTCTCCGACAGCACGAGGCCCTACGCGGCGGGCGGCCGGCAGTCGAGCGCGCACCCGGCAGCTGTGCCCATGCTCAAGCGCCGCCTGCCACCGTCGTTCTTCACAGGTCCCGCTCGGCCGCCCACCCCCGTCACTAAAATTATATATTTTTTTAATTTCACCAGGTGCTAAGCCCCACTGAGCGATATAGATCTTGTTATTTCCAGAAAGCGGACCTGGGTATCACGAATGATAGCTCGACGAAGTGGATCAGTGATTGAGCGAGTGGGTGAGCGTGTGGATGAGTGGGTGAGCGAGTGGGTGAGTGTGTGGGTGAGCGAGTGGGTGAGCGAGTGGATGAGTGAACGAGAATATGTGCGAGTGGGTGAGTGAGTGGGCGAGTGAGTGGATGAGTGGGTGAGTGTGTGGATGAGTGGGTGAGCGAGTGGATGAGTGAACGAGAATATGTGCGAGTGGGTGAGTGAGTGAGCGAGTGAATGGATGAGAGGTGAGCGAGTGGGTGAGTGGGTGGGCGAGTGGATGAGTGAATGAGAGGATGAGCGAGTGGGTGAGTGAGCGGTTGAGTGGATGAGTGGGTGAGCGAGTGGGTGGGTGGGCGAGTGGATGAGTGAGCGAAAGGAGGAGCGAGTGGGTGAGTGAGAGAGCGAGTGGATGAGTGAACCAGAGGATGAGCGAGTGGGTGAGTGAGTGGGTCAGTGGATGAGTGGGTGAGCGAGTGGGTGGGTGGGCGAGTGGATGAGTGAGCGAAAGGAGGAGCGAGTGGGTGAGTGAGAGAGCGAGTGGATGAGTGAACCAGAGGATGAGCGAGTGGGTGAGTGAGTGGGTCAGTGGATGAGTGCATCAGCGAGTGGATGAGTGGGTGGGCGCTTCTGCAGTTCATCAACTCTCAGACGCAGCAGCAGCTGAATGGTTAAATCCCTTCGAACTAAATCTCCAATAGTTTATCTTCAACGACCATAAAAAAATCAAATAATCATAATTGAAAAGACCGCAATGTTTTGTGATACTGTGCACGAGCACAATAATTACAAACGCAACACATTTGTCCGTAACACTGCTCTATGAGAACAACACATTTATAATTAATAGGCAAAGGGAGGCCTTCGTCCAACATTGGATTGACCATCGCTGATGATGATGATAATCATTCGTGATTGCGAGCACGTTTTTGTTGTCGTTGTTGTCGCCTCTTCCTATGGACAGAGCCCACAACGGTGACGTCGGCTTGCGGTGGAGCAAAGCGAGCGCAGGCCGCTGGCGCTCTCGGCAACGCAGCCGATGCTGCCCCCGCCGCCGCCGCCGCCGCCGGTGGTGGTCTTCGCAACATCGGAGGCGGCGACTGTAGCCTCGGTCACAGTGGCGCCGGCTACTGCGGCGCTGATGCCGGCGTCGCCGGTGTGAGCAGCGCAGCTCGCGGGCTCAGCGGCGGTGGCACGGGCATCATTTCCACGTGCACGCCAGATTTCAGCGACCTGCTGGCCACGTGGGCCAACGAGGAGGAGGAGGAGGAGGAGGCGGAGTGCAGCGGCGAAGAAGAAGAAGAAGAGGGCTCATCCCTGGAGGCAGGACCCACGCTGGGACACTCAACCCCGGCCGCTCGCCTCGCTGTGTCGTGCCAAGCGGCCACGTTCATCATGAGCCACGGCTGAGCGTCGGGCACCACTGCTGGGCGCTTTGCGCTCGTACCTGTAATACGATTATCTGTGTGTGTGTGTGTGCGTGTACGTATACGTTTACGTGTCATTGCTTGCGGCTCTCCAACCTGTTGGTGTTGTGATTACGATGAAGAGCGCGCGCCTTTTGTGTGTTTTTGGCGCCGCAGTTGAAACAATGCCCCCCGCGAGAATTCCTTAAAGATCACCCACCGCCTCTGTCCAAGCCAGCCATATAAATCGGTGCGATGCGGCTAAGTCGATCGGCAGCTCGCGTTCGGTGGGGGTAAAGTGTGGGTACTAGCACGACACCTAGCCAGCGTGGAAGATTAGGCCAAACACCCTCTAGCGTAGTGGGGGTGGGGGGAGGTTACTCTTAGAGAACGTTACCTTTGTTTCCAGCAGTAGCAGCATTCACCCTTTTTCTCATTATTATCATAAAGTGAAACGTGTTTTCTTAGCCTCGAAAAAGAACATCGCCATGGGAGCTTTCTGCAGATAACAGTGAACAAAGGATGGCTTAACGCAGCCTCACTTTGAGTCCGGGGGCAGGTAGCGTGCTTGTAATGAACACACACACGCGCCGCGCACACACCGCAACGCCACTGCGGCCCTGAAATCTCCCGCAAACATTTAGAAACTCCAACAGCACCTTTCGAACGCTGATACGTTGTTCACACACACACACAACCCACGCATCTATTTGACGTCCGGTGGCAGTTCACCTGCGTTGGCGTTCAGCAAATCCCCTGACGCCTGCCGACGAGACACTGAACGGCAAAAAAGAAGTAATATTTAAAAAAACGTTTTAAAAAACACGCTTTTATTAAATGTACTAGTAATGTCAGAACTCCACGACTCCAGGATGGCCCCGAAGCTTGCCACAACGTAAGGGGACCGTGGCCAATTACAGCCAACGTCAGTTGAGCGTGGACAATTAGACCCAAGCCGAAACACAACATATAAAAAATAATGTTAAAAAAATATATATTTTGTATGAATAGAATATAGTATTGTCATCAGTATGACATAAGTATACCAAGTTTGCAGACGCTACCACATTGGGAAGTGGGTTAAAATTGAGTTACAAGATTTGAGGATATAACAACGACAACAACACACAGAGTGAGTTAAAAGAAAGCGTGTAATAAAAAAAAAGCCAGTCCAGAGGTTGCTCGTATCCGCCGAGGAAATTCACTCCCAGAAGGAAGGGCCGTCCAGCCGATGGGATGTGCACAACAACAGCAGCAGCAACAACACCCAAGAAAATGTTCACGTGGAGAGACAGATACGAGAAGGGGGCGTTTTGTCTGCGTATTTTATTTTGTTACTGATGAGTTGAGATAGCAACAGCAGCCAGGGCTTTCGTACCTCGGGTCACGGCGTGAGAAGAGAGGCGCTGTGCTTACTTTGTTGTCCTTCGCCCGCACCTCCTATTAGCACGGTTGGTTACGTGCGGTGCAAAGGAAGTTCAACGTAGTATATGCGTGGAGGGAGTGCGCATTGCACGAGGCTCGTCCGTCCCAATGAGAGGCGATGCCAGGATCATTATATCGCTTGACAGCGCCCCAGTGATCTGCCGAAGGATGCTCACACAATAACGGACGACACGAGCGAGTCCCATTGGAGTTGAGAATTGGTAGCAGGCATAAATCATTCATCACCACCACCAACACCACCGCCACTCATCACCCGAGCGATTCAATGGCTTTTCACGATTCGATTAAAGCCCACAATTCTTGTTTTTGATTATCACACTCAGACACATACACGCGAGGTACCAATCCTGAGCTTCAGAATGGATACTCGCTGGGCTCCAGGAGGATTGCATCCCGTTTCATTTGAATCGTAACCGACTGCCTTGCTTCTCTCCAACACATGTATAACACGGTCTAAACTATAAACTAAACATTTTTATTTTACCAAGTAAGGCCCACTGAGCCATATCGCTCTTTTTTCAGAAGCGACGTGGCCACAGACAACAGCTACACGAAGTGGTTTGTCATTTGGATGTTTATAGCAGCCAGATAATCTACACGCGTGACGTCGATTCTAAATACGGAGGGGAAAAAATCCACGCGACCACGGGGAGAGACCTAGACACTCAAGACTCCAAATACACAGCAGGCGTCGGCAGCGAACCCACGACCTCCTCCATACCCAGGCAAGGGAGTTAAAATCTCGCCACCGCAGCGCGGTCACCCCCCCCAGCCTCCCTCTTTTTCCTTTCTCTCCAACTCTGCGTATCCCCTCCTGCAGCCCCCCTGCGGCCCCCGTATCCACCACCGTCTCCCTTTCTGAACTCCGCACTTCGGAGGTCGCAGCCGAAGCGCGTCTCGCAGCTCAACGCGATTTCAGCTAAAACGTCGCCGTGCGTCGATGTTAAGGCAACCGGACACCTGTGGGGGGAGGGGGGGGGTGGGGAGAAAGAGCTTCATAGCTCATCGGATTCCTCCAGTGTGAATAAATATTCTGATGTTGATCTCATTCCGACTGCGGGTCAGCCTTTTACATTAAACTGTGCGCACGGCGAGTTGGGCATTGATCGATGAGCGAGCGTCCTTGGAGGGAGAGAGGGGGAGGAGAGCGGTGGGGGGGGTTACGCGTTGCGATGAGAGCTCTGTTTAACAAGTTTGTCATTAACACTGCCTTATAAGGAAACAATTACGTAAGTTACAAAACATACAAAGCGGAGAACTTACGTTATTAGAATGTGTTTTTTTTACGTGCTATAAAGAAGGAACATCTTCCAAAGCGTCGCCTATTGCACAGGGTGCTTAAATTGTTTTTAAAACACTTATATGGGAAATCTTGACTTAAAACTTTTGTGACTGCAGGAATTCGTATTCTTTGGGTGTTTCGGTAAAAGCCACGTAGATAGAAAAACATAATAAGGGACTATCGTTTTTAATATAAAAAATAACGGATAATACACTGTAACGTGATAACAAATGTGTGTTTCTCGCTTCAAAAAGTCAGTCTCCAATTGTTCGCCATCATTATCAACGCGTGCCTGGAATCTTCTCGAGGTGGTCTCCACAGCACGGAGGCTGCACATTTCTCGTGGTATCGTTGTAAACTCTCTGAAGTGTTAAAGATTTTTTTGAAGCACCCTGGATAGTGTTCTCTTGAAGGCCACACTATTGTTATTGACGAATGTGTCGAGTTGTTGCTTGTGCACCGCTGCCAACGCAGCATCACCAAATAATTGTTTTCTGATTAGAAAAAGGTCTCGGGTTCACCTTTACACGAGAGTTGGAGTGTGTGTGCGTGTGTGCGCGTGTGTGTGCGTGTGAGGAGCTCACAAATCCTTGAAAGATCTGGGCAAGGTTCCATCGGTGAGCACCTCCGGCAGGCAAGGCTGCGTTGGCTGGGTCATGTAGCCCGCATCCCCAGCCACCGCATGCCCAAACAGCTTTTGTTCGGCCGGATCGAGGGGGCTAAACGGGCGCGGCACGGGCTAGAGAAGAGATGGAGTGATATGGTACAGGAGGCACGGGGCTAGAGAAGAGATGGAGTGATGTGGTACAGGAGGACGTGGAGCTGAGTGGACTTGCCGATGACTGGTACCAGCGGTGTCAAGATCGGCCTCTGTGGAGGAGGCTCGTGAAGGATGCTACTGGGCAGTTGGAGGCAGTCGCCCTCCAACAACAACGGAGGGCGGAGGAGCGACGCTCACAACAACGAGCGGAGCGCCGGGTGGATAAAGCACAGCAGGTTGGCACAGTAGGGGGCACAGGTGGTGCATCAGCCACTCATCTCAGTCGTCTCAGTCAGTCTACCCGTGGCACCTGGGTCTGTCCCGTGACCTCCTGCCAGCGGGCGTTCGACACTTCACGTGGCCTCAAGGTGCACATGGCCTGGCACAAGCTTCGTGGTGACGTCACTGAATGGCGGTTGTTGTTGTGTGTGTGCGTGTTCTCAATGTGTGGGGAGCGGTAGTGTAGCGGTTAGCGCGCTGTGCTACGAACCCGGCGACCCGGATTCGATTCCTGCTCACGCACCAGTAATGATTATTTGAACCGGTCCTGGGCCTCCCCTAGATCGACTCCGCCTCAAATGAGTACCTGGTGCGGTGTGTAAACATCGCCACTGGGGAGACAAAGGCGGTCGGGCGTGGTTGCTGGCCACCCACCCCCTCGTGTACCGTTCCGGCCTTCAGCACTTGCTGTTAAGGCTATACAGGGGACCTTTGTTCTCAGTGTATGGCTGCCGCGATAAGTTGTCACGATATGAGATCAAGTTTTCACGATGTGACCATTATCGCGTTATCAATTTTACTTTACCAGGTAAGGCCCACTGAGCTACGTAGCTCTGTCTCAGAAGCGACCTGGCTATCACAAATGATAGCTGAACGAAGTGGCTACTCACGTGGCTACTCACGTGGACATTTATAGCAGCCAAATGCTCCAAATGCGCGTTGATTCTAAATGTGGAGGACCCGGAGAAAAATTCACGCCACCACGCAAACTCACAAATATACAGCGGCAGGCGTCAGGGACGGGATCGAACCCACGCCCTCCTGTGTAGCAGGCGAGGTAGTCAACATCTCGCCAAAGCGGCGTGTTCCACGTGTTTGTGTGTGCGTGCGCGCGCGCGATTTGCTGTGCTGTACTTCACGTACGAATAAAGGACTGCGGAAGAAAATCGAATTAAACAGCAAGTTCACTCGACGTCAGCCCCTTGCCTGCCATTAACACCCTCCCAGGCATTGTGCGGTCACAATCTACGACTCGGAGTGGCCTCGTCGCACGCCGTCACAGCAAGGTGACGGCGTACAAAGCCACCGGATGGCATCCATTTATCCGTAACTATCTTTACTAGCCGGCTTCGCCCGGGACTTGGATTATTGTCTTGGATTAATACACGGAACCACGCGGAGGGTGGGAGGGGGGGGGGATACGTGACGTCAACAGACACACTGCGTGACGCTGCCGCATGCGGGTTACATCACAGATGTGACGTCACCGCTCACTTGCCGTGCAATATATTATTTTCAGCTTATTTTGGTATAGCCCTGTGAGCCATTCGGCTCTTGAATCGGGTGCAACCACAACAGTCTGAAAGCTACCCACATGCCAAATTTCAAGTTTGTAGCATGTCGGGAAGTACGCTAAACATTTCGAAACAGACACACATTCACAAATTTCCATTTTATATATTAGATTGAGTGTTTTTTTTAAACCACCATTAATGCAACAGGCATTGGCCCAGCAAATACGGAACGTTGGCCTCAACGTACGTCAGGTGCAGATTGGGTTCCTGTATGACAGACGATTGTTATGAAAATGTGTGTGTGCGTGCGATTTCTTCTCACCGGTGTAAACTAGCGGATGAAAAACGGTACCGTGGCAAATTTTGACCGTGCAAAAAACACTGCAGCTATTCTCGTTAGGAAGTCCCCTTGTGACCGGACACGTTTTGCGATACTGCATTGGCAGTGGTGCATAAGCACAAATGACAAAAACACGTGTGAATAACACTGCTCTAAACATGCGTTTAGGAGTATTTTTTTACTGATGTAAATATCCACACGATAAGCAACTGGGACCCCCCCCCCGGGACCCCCCCTCCCGTTTCGCTATCCTGCGCGGTACAGTTATACGTTGAACTTCTTACGCACCGTACGCAGCCAACCGTGCACACCGGAGGTGATCCCACAAGGCTACGGTGGCTAGGAGATGTTAACTACCTCGCCTTGTATACAGGATGCGATGGGGTTCTATCCCGACCTTGACGCCTGCTGTATATTTGGAGTTTGCGTGTCTCTCTTTCATCATCATCACGGTGGCTAGGAGATGTTAACTACCTCGCCTGGTATACAGGATGCGATGGGGTTCGATCCCAACCTTGACG